ACAGTTTTATAAAAAAGAGGGAGGAAATACATTCTCTGGCTGAGAAACTTTTGGACTTTCAAAGCCACAGAAGAGACACAGTTAAAAGCACTGGTAATGTCCCTGATTTTTCACCGCCGGTGCCCTGGCCACCCTAGGGTGGGGTCTCACAGCTCCACGCCAGACAGGCTCTCAGGGTGTCTCCGGCTCGGGCTGCAGGGGAGGCAGGGAGCCGCTCACAGCGCCGAGGGCTGCCCAGCTCGGCGGCTCCGCGCACCGGCCCCGAGGGCTGCTCCGCTGCTGCCGCAGCGGTTGTTCTGTCAGGAAAAGCCAAGAACAACCCCCTCTCTCTCTCTCGGGGCTTTCCCTGCTTGTGGTAAGCAGCAGCAGTGGAGCAGGCGCCGCACGGGCAGGGTGGAAAGGCGGCGCGGGTGAGGCCGGTGTTTGCCCAGGCTGGCGGAGCAGCCGCCTCCTGCAGCGCCCTCCGTGTCTCCTCCGGCAAAGCAGCCCGGAGCCTGCTCCTTCCCCGCTGCTCCCTACGGGGCAGAAATCCTGCGCTTCGGATCAAGAGCGCGGGGCTGGCTCGGGCAAAGGCCCACACATACATTCCACTGACCGCAGCAAGGTTGAAGTGTGTGGTGAAGAGCTCTTCCAAAGCGAGCGTCTTCCCTCGAGACCGCAAAAACAGCACTGGAATCTAAGAAAAGGTCCCCTAAATGTGAACTTTTACTACAAGATGTTCCTGGCTTTTTTTTTTTTTTTTTTTCTCTCTCCTCTCTCTCCCCCTTAAATCAAAACAGTCCAACCTGGGAGGCAATGGTGCCTATTAAAGTGAATCTACGTGCTCCACTTAGAGCTCACTTATGCCCCAAAGAGACCCATGCTGCAGAAGGCCTTTCACTCTCTGCAAAGAACCGAGCCAAGCTCCATGATTCAGCTCACAAGCCCTGGAATGATGGGTTTTTTTTTACTTTGCCCTCTGCTTTGTTCTTTAAAGCCTAGGATTTCTAGATATTACAGTCATCATGTCAAGATAACCTTGAAAACAGCAAAACCGATGCACTAACATCTGCTTGAACTGCGGCCTGAAAAGGCAGCTAAGGGATACTGGCCTATTCTACCCATCCTGGCATCTGAAGTGCTGCTCATTACCGCATGCAAGACAGAAGAAAACTCTGCTCTGAGGATCCGGCCAATTAATCAAGGGCAACAACTCACTGTATGACACAGAGACGGGGCCTGGGAGAAAACATCACACCACCCTGCCCCTAGGTCGAGAAGCGGCCACAGCCACAGATTCCAGAAGAAAGCAGGGAAGCAGCTCAGTTCTCCTCAGTAAAGTCCAGTGTGCCTCGGAGCTCCTCCCATCTGTGATGAGAGGCTGGGCCTGCTGTGGAACCAACGAGAAGTCATCAAACACAAGGGGTCCCAGGGAACTTAAGTAGCCACTTAAGTTTCGAAATCTGCTGCTAGCAGCACTGCTGTCAGTGACGTCTGGAAAAACACCAGCGTGTTCCTTCTCCACTGTAACCTCTGTGCTGGAGACTGAACGGGAAGACACCAGGATGCGGCTAGAACAACGCTGCTTCTCTCAGGCTTTTACCCAACCTCGGCTCTGCAGCAAAGGCTCAGCTGGAACAGGCACCGAGGACAGGGAGCGGGTGCCCGTCCCTCCCAGCCTCCAAAGTCAGAACACCCTATCCTGGTGTCACCATGGGGCCACGGCCAGGAAGTTTTGTGCATCGTGTGGGTTCTCACTAAATACGCTGGAAGATAAAATCCCAGCATGGACAAGATCCTAGAAAGAAAATATTTCTGAATAAATTGTTCAAGAATAACGGAGGGGAATTTTCACCCAACGTGATTGTTTTTTAAATTAATTCAAAGTAAAAGCAACTTTGATATTCTGCTGGCAAATTTAAGCCCCCATTTGCCATCTGTGCATCCATCTGACCCACCAGCTACACAACTAATAGTAGCCCACTTCAAGCCAGCCTTATGAATCCAGTGCATTATACACTAAAAATACATTATCGTTTCTTAGTATTTGCTACATTGGGTTATTTGTACATTATTAGCATTCAGATATGATGACTGCATTAGGATCAGATATATTAAGAAATCAGTACTGCAAATGTGGGAAAACACTCAGGGCTGTCTGTAAGGTTCACCTAAGACTTCATAAGACTGTTTAAAAATGCCTGTTTTTACAGATCTTTATCATTAAAAGCAATAATGACCAACATGAAATTACCATTGTTTGGACTGTGGACAATCAGCTCTTCCATAGATCAGAAACTCTCCGGAAATTTGCCCTGCCTTGTCATTTACCAAAGCAAATATAATATTTTCAATATATATATATTTCTTAAGTGGATTGCTGATTTTATTTTCCATCACGGATTTGAACGTCAAAGAGCCAGATACAAGTATTTACCTCTGCCCTCCCATCATGCCAACATAAGTTGAGTATCTAATGCAATTCTTACACTTTCTTCCCACTCCATCTCTACAACTGAGGTAGCTCAGGGTAAAATCAAGCCAATCGGGCAGGAACAAAGTCACGACACGACTCAAATCTTCTCCATTACCCAAAGCCTCCCTGTGTGACAAGGAGATGCGACGCCGTCCCCAGGTGGCCGGGATCCTCTGACTTTGCTTACAGCACTAAAAATGGTAGTTTCACTCTTGTATTTCTTTTCCTCCCTGATAACCTCTGCTTCTGCTTCCCCAAGTTGTCGTGTCTTACCTTCCTGGAGCACTTTAGATCTAAATCCACCTAAAACATGCACACAATCCACTGCTTTCCTGCCTTAGGCCTCAAAATACTATGATACCAAGAATAAGCAACTAATAAAGATGGGGTAGAGCCAGCCAGTAAAACCACTTGTTTTGAAGTCTAGTCAAGAGATAGGGAGAGGCACCAACAGCAGACCTGGTGCAGAGGGGTCTGCACTCCAGTGAATGGGACACAGCAGATGTTTGAGCTGGTGGTAGTTGGACTGATGCGCAACGAACAACACTCAAGTTACAACCTTGGATCTCTTCCAAACTAAAACAACCCACAGCCTTATCTGGGAAGCATGTGCAAGAGAAGGCACCTAGGAATGGAGGATGAACCTACTTCACAGCTTAAAGGAGAAAGAAAAGACTACCCCAAAACTTGCACTGTGAAGGAAAATGATGTTTCTCACCAGAACCCTCCTACTCACGTCCGGAATGGGATGAAATGTGTTCCTCTGTATAGAACAGCAATGAAATGCTGAAGATTTCTCACAGCAAAAAAAACCAAAATGAGAAAACAAAACCCATTGTTGGATGGGATACTGTAAGAAACACCCTGGGAGCTGCATCAGGCCCAATCCCCAGTCACCTGTTGTGATTTTAAGTAACAAATTATCTTAAAAATCAAGTACTGGAATGACTATTTTGGAAATACGAAAAGAAAGCATTTCAGAGCATTTCGGAACCAAGGCATTTCAGAAGCTGCACTCGTCTCTAGCGCACGGCAGAGCTGCTGCAGGGCTGACGTGCCAGGAGACAGAGGCAAATGCACACGGGGGCTGCAGCACGTGATACCCCACCCCTACCGTGCTCAGCAGAGGGAGCAGCAGAACAGGCTGCAAACGCACTTGCCCGCTGCCTTGCAAAGCCTGCCGAAAGCAGGGCTGCGGAAACCAGCTGAAGTTTCTCCTAAAAGAGTTAAAGTCTTTTGCTTATTAACCCCCAAAAGGAAAACCCACAAAAACAGGGAAAAAGGAAAAAAAAATTTCAAAACACACACACATGCAAAAACCCCAGATCACCAAAACCCACCAAGAGGATATGGAAATAGAAACAGTTTTAAAAATGGTTACAAATCCTTTCTGAGCAGCAAGATAGATACCACTGGCCATACTGCCTACTATACTTTAATCTACTCCTGACCGTATCACCATCATATTTTAGGCTTATAATAATACACTTAGCAGAATAAAGCAGGAAGGCATCTTTCTTAAAGATACCATTGCTATATAACCAAGGCTTATAAAGTCTGAAAATTCCTCTCTGTGATGCAGGAGTCTATTTTGGTTCTCTTGTGCACACCTTCTGTGCAAATGTATATGTGTCTTAACACAGGTCTTTTCCCCTGGGTATTGTTCAATGTCCAGTTTTAACCAAGTTGCTGTCTTAAGTGAGTTGTAATAGCGGAAGGAAAACAATTGTCCTAAAGCAAAAAGTTTAGGCCCAAATCTTCATTTACAAATTTTGGGTTCCTTGTTCCATGCTGAAAAAAGTAAAGCTGAAAGGAGGATCCTTATTCTTTGTGCAAGACATAAACCTCCCTATTCCCCACAGACTTGGTCATAGTTTTTAAGACTGTTTTTAAACTGCATGGAAACAGGGCAGAAAGTGATGAATATCCTTTCAGAGAAGGGTACCAAAAACACCCAAAGAAGCAAGAATCCTAATATTGCCTAAAACCACTTATAAAAGTAACAGGCAACGATTGAATTTCGGGATACAGTATTCCATTTGTTTCCATATATCCAATGGGACTCCAGCTCCCACATTAATCCCACAGGGATCAATTAGGCTTCAAATAAAAATCAAAATTTAAAAAAAATCAACATTCAAGGAAGAAAGCTGATCCAAAGGAGGAGGTTTCCTATCATCTTCCATTTAATGAAACATCCCACACAGCAAAGACCTTTCTACACTTGATGATTATTGCCTCACCTCCAACAGCACGAGGTATTCAGGTTCACGACAAGTGAAGTACATCTCTGTGCAGTACTGACCATATAAAGTCTTAAGACAACAACATGCTATGGAGAGGAAAGCAACTACCCCATTTCCTAGGGGTACGGAAAAATACTTCATCATAAAAGCATGCTACACCAGAAGAGGTCTTGCTGAGCCCATGACAAAAATTTTGACTTTGAAAATACTCACTTTGTTGGAAACCCACTGCAAAAAGAAGATTTGCACTGAGGTTCCCTGCCCCATACTGAGGATAACGCACTGAAATAATAACCGGAGAGCAAAAAAATAATACAAAAAGTTACATTAGCACTTCTAATAAGGAGCTAAAGGAAATAAAACCTACCCGATGGCAAAGCAGAGCACTGTGCAGCCCGTGAGGAACAATACTAGGAGAACAAGCCCAGAGCCATCAGCACCTGGGTTTGGACATAAATGCTTTTCTCTCTCTATCTGTTCCACACAACTTTGGTGAAACCAGTAGAAGTGTATCCAAAGTTTATCTTTTTTTTTTATTATTGGTTGCTATAATTGTGCTTTCCCTTCAATTTTACAGGAGAAAAGAGACCTAAGAACAGCATATTTTTAAGGGCTGGCAAACTTTTTCCGTTTCCTAAATTAATACATTAATGCCACAAATTACTGAATGTAAGTTTTTCCAGACGAGATTTTTTTCTCAGCAACTATCTTGTTTGCTGCTGTTAGTTATTATTGGTAATAAAAAATATCCTCTTGCTTTGCGAGTCTTGTATTTCACATATTTCACTCCATTTTTTTGCCATTTTATCTTTGCTCAGTGGTTTCATGTTCTCGTGCTATCTTTTCCTCATTTTCTTGGCAAAAAACCATGTGCACCTTATTCAGATACTGAAGAACGGGTACATTTATTATAATATTTTTATAGCACGATTTTCACCATCTCTCGCAAGATTTTCACCATCTCTCTCAAGAGCACACTGCTATGGAGGATATCAACGAACTTTATCCTAAGATGCTTCTCCAGAACCAGGAGGAGAAGGGGATTTGGGAGCTTTTCTGACTGGCTTCTATCTTCTCGGGAATCTAGTGCACTACAGCGAAGCACTTCTTTCGAGATTTGGAGCACCAGCAGTCCTGCAACAGGGAAAAAACACATCAGGGCAGGAGAGAAATCAAGCCAGGGTCGGGGTAGGTGGACACAGGGAAACGTCACGGCCTAAAGTCACGCATGCACACGGCCTCTGGCCCTGGTGACAGCATCAGGAGAGGTCTCTGAGCACGACAGGCCTTGGCACCCCTCTCCCTGCCCGAGGCTCACAGGCTGGATCCCAAGATCCAAGAAGTGCTTGGATCCCACAGCCAAGAAGTGCTTAAGAAACCTCCTGGGGCTCCCGCTCGGTTTCTCCGGCAGCTGAGGAAAAGGGAGCATCCTGGTAGGAGCTGGGACTCCAGATCCATCCTACACGGCTTCTTTTTGGCCGTTTGTGGTTAGTGGCCAATGCCCTTCGGAGCAAAACCCTCCTAACAGGATAGCTGCACACCACGAGCACCAGCTCATTATCTAAAAGGCAGACAGAGGAAAGGGATTTCCTCTCAGCTTTTCAACTTCCGAAGCAAAAAAAGGTGACATAACAGGGTTGTACAGATGTTTTGCTTACTGGGAAATGGATAAAAAAATCCAGTTCTTTTTTGCAAAAGCAGCTGGCCCACGGCAGGAAGGGCTCGTGGGCTGAGCGAAAGCAGGGCCGCCTGGAAGGTGGGGGACCTCCCTTTCCAAACAAGCTGAAGGACTTTGAACACTGCTGTCTGAACAGAGCTATGGCAGGTGATGCCTTTGCAGAGCAGATGTTGCTTTCTATGACTTTTGCAATGACTTTTTTTTTCCTTTTTTTTTTTTTTAAATTGGAGAGCGTGACATTTCAGAACAGCTAATCCAGTGTTTCAGATTTTTTAAAGGATAAAGGCAACTGCAAATTAGATGGTTTTCATCTCCACACGGTCCCTGTGACACACCCGCTGGCTGGGCTTTCCTCGAGTCTGTTTCTACAGCACAATTAAAATTAACCATCTGCTTGTGATTTTTTTCTCCCCTCTTTTTAAGTCTCTGGATCACAAATAAATCGAGGGTACAGAAATAGAAAGCAAAAGGATGAATGTGTAAGAAATTAATAATGCTAAAAGCCTACTTTTAACAAAATAAACGGCAGACACAGCAGATTTCATTTTCAAGTAAGTATTTCACCCCCGGAATTACACCAGAATATGTGGTCTATCCAGCAGCAGCTGCTGCTAGTGGAGCATCGTTAGTGCTAGCTCTGGAGCACACGATGGGGAAGGCAGCACTAAACAACTCTGCCATTAACCATCCTTCACAGAACGTGATGAGAACGTGAGAAACATGTGCCCTTTCTGCATGATAACCTACAGTATTTGCCCCAAAAGGGGGTGTACTTGGCTAATGGCAACATGCTGGTTTTAGCCCTCAAACCCCAAATTCAATCCTAGCCCCGTCCTTCCCCTCACATGCTGCCTTTTAGGTTACAAACATCTGCTCTCTCGTGTGTCCTTGCTGTACCTTGCAAGGAAGCAGCCTACCCTAAAATACTAATGGAAAGGCCACATCCCTTACCCAGAGAGCCTGGGAAAAGGGTGAAGCTCTTCCCTCAAGCCCATAAGATATTGCTGTACAGGCACAGACACAATGTCTGTACAGAAAACTGAGCTGCAGCACCCCATAGCTGTGGGACTTTCAGCCTTCAGGACAGGGGCCTGTTCCTGCTCCAGACTTGGGGGATTTCACTATTTTTAAACAAGAATAATGCATGTTTTGCATGTCTATAGTGCCTTCCACGCAAAGATCTCAAAGGACTTTATACACACCACAAATGTCCTAAACCACCCCCTGTGAGGTAGGTATTATCCCTATTATTTACAGATGGGGAAATTCAGGCACAGAGGTTACATTATTTGCCCAAAGTCACACAGTGAGTCAGTGGCAAATCTGAACAGAATCCAGTTGTTTTGATCCCTATTTGCACAATCCAACTACCAAACGACACGGTCTCCATCTGAAAAATCAGTGTGCATTAGAACAGTCTTGCATGTCAAGACCCAAGCTGATTCATAACAAAAACCATGAGAAGAGAGGTTAAACAAGAGAGAAAACATGAAGAAAAAAATCAAAAAAATGAGAGAAAAAAAAAGAAAAGGGGACACATAAGAACTTGCTTCTGCAAGTCACCACAGCTTTAAAGGAAGAATGCCAGTCAGTTCCCTTCCCAGAGCTGAAGCAGCTTGATCACGAGCCTGGGATACAGGAAAAGGTGGCGGCTGGTGGATCCAAAGCCCAAAACCAAAAAGCTAGTTAAAGAGCCACACCAACCCCCTTCATCACTTTGAAAGCATAGGGTCATAGAAAAATAGGGCTGAGAGGGACCTCAAGAGGTCATCGAAGTCCATCCACCCTGCCTCAGAGCAGACTCACGGACACCTATTCCTTCCTGACACTTGAATTTGTTCTCCAGGTTCTCCATGGACAGAGACTCTGCACCCTCCCTCGGCAAGCTGCATCTAGCACGTGAGCAATGAGGGCAAGGGAGTGTAACGTAGCTGCTGCTCCTTCACTGGGGGCACTCTGATTCCCAGGCCTATCTCATGATCTGAAAGCATTTCAGAGAGGTTAATTGCCAAATATTTATTTGTTTACATGCTGGAAGCCTTGGGAAAACACTGAACGCTAGTGTCTGCTGTAGTGTAATACTTGAGTTTGGGAAATATTGATTAATACCAGGATAGTTACCAATATACTGCAAGAACCAAATCCTACAGGTAACCAGGTTTTGATATGGTAATTTTGGTTTACTGCAGCTTGAACCTGCAGTAAGGACAGGGAAGACTACAGAAAAGCCCCACAGCAAAAGTCAGCAGCTTTGAGTTGCCAAGTTACTTCCAGCTGCAGACCACGAAAATCAAGCAGTCGGAAAACACATCTTCAGCAGAGGCAGCACCATGATATGATCTCTGTAGCATCCCTCCATTTCCTCTGTCTTCAAAGTGCATTCTCAGTGCAAGAAGTAGGATTGAATTTAAAGGGGCTTCCTGTCCCCAGCGGATTTCATACTAAGACCAGAACTCCTGCTTGAGCTCATACGCTGCAGTTTTGTGTGTGTTAAGTTCACTCCTGCACAGCGGAACGGTGCTGTCCTGGCTCTGCCCCTCAGCATCTATGTCCAACAGCGTCCGCTCCTCTACAGGAAGACCCACCTGGAAAGGAAGCAGCGCGGGAAGTCCGGCTCTCTCTTCCACAGTGCTGCTGCTACTAGCAAAACAAGAGTCCAGGTTGCTGGGAGTGTCAGTGCTCGAGCTGTTGGCAGAGGATTCCCCCTTGGCATTGCTGGGGGACACAAACCACCACGGGTCCAGGCGCTGGCGGCTGGCCGCGGGCCGCGGCCGCGGCAGGAACTCCAGCGTCTTGGGCCGCTCCAGGGCAGGGTCCTGCTGCGCGTTCCAGCGTCTCGGCGTCGGAGGGAAAACCAGGTTGGGGTCTGGCAGGCGAGGGACCTCATTCGGATCTCGGCTTGGACTAGGTGTTTTTAATACACCTGTCCGCCACACAGAACATGAAAGAGGAGGAAAGCACGTTAGGTATCACTGCTAAACAGCTCCAACAGATTTCAACAGATCTTAGCTTATTATTCGCACTGTGAAGACATTTTCAAGGTAGAAAGCCTCTTTTTCAGAAGCCACAACCTTTGCATCTTTACCAGTAACCTTCAACCAGTTTCAAGAGATTCTTTTCCATTTTTTTTCCTCTCCTGTTCTGTATACATTACTGAGGAACACCCGTTTCACTTGGCAGAGCATCCTGTGCATTGTCTCAATTGCTTTCTTCATGCTCTGACTAAATCGTCTCCGTGGACAATTCTGTGCAGTTCTTCCTTTTCTTCTCAAAAACACAACATAGCTTTAAAGTAGTCTCCATGAATACTTAAATGAGAGCTCTCAGCTCTAAATTCTACTACAGATTCATTCAGCAGATACATTTATGTTCTGTTCTGCGACTGGAAAAAGTCTACTTCAGTCAGATTTTAGTTTTGTATCTTAGTTCTCTTTTTTCCTGAATTCTTACTAGAGTGAAAAAACAGGAAAGCATTTAAGTTATCAAACCTCAAAACCGCTTAAAGACTGTAATGGTAAAAACACTAGCCTGGAAGATGCCTCTTGCTTGCAAATGACTACAGTTAACAACCCCAAACTACTTGAGACATCCAGACTTAACTGCTTCAAGTTTCTGTAACAGAAAATTATTTTACGAATTCATTTCTTATGAAAAGGTCAAGGAAGAGGGCTGAAAACCTACCTGCTCCTAGCGTTCCAGTTAAGCAGCTACTGGAAGGGCACCCGCTGGTTGGGCATCCATTGACAAGGAGTCCGGTCCCTTTGATGGCCCCGTCGGAAGGTGTGCGCCTGTGCCCACCTTGCTGCGGGTGGGAAGAGACTGTCACGTGTGTGGGAGTCAGGGACTGGTTGGGGTCTTGTTTGAACCTCTCAATCTGCACGTTGACCAGCGGGTTGTTAATGGCTGGCAAGGGAGCCTTGACTGTCACGGGGCTGACAGGCATTTCATACACCACAATCTCATCACTGTCCGAGCGCAGCAGGGAGCGGGTGGAATTACATTCAGAAATGGAAGACAGGGAAAGAAGGGTCAGGGATGTGGATGGCTCGCCCAGAAACAACGTGGGCTCCTCTTTCTTGAAGATCTTCCGGGAAGGTGGGCTCGTGCTCCTACGTGGACGTCCGGCTCGCTGGAAAATGCTGTCACGCTTCTTCTTCTCCTCCTTGGGTGGTTCTGGCTCCTCCTCAATCAACAGCTGACACTTCCCTGCTTCTAGCAGGTCAAAGCCCAGGCCTGCAGCAGCCAGCACCGCCCCACAGCCAAGCAGAGCAACCTCACACCGTTTGTGGTGGGAGCCGCTGCGTTTGAGGCTGTTTGTGGGGGTCAGCTGTGGGGTGCTGGTGGCAGAGTTCACAGGAGTGGACTCCTCATTGGCATCGCTAGAAGGCCCATCCCAGTCTTCATTCTTCTGAAACGGGATGCAGAGGTATGACTGGTTGGGGCCAGGTGAAGGGTGCACTTTGCCCTCTCCATTAAAACATTCACTGTCTTCATCGTCTGGAAAGAAAACGAAGGGACACTTGGCACGGATGTAATATTTTCACAAAAAGAATTTTATGATGCCTTAAAAAAAAATATGAGGATTAAGCTTCTCTTCAGAAGATTCAATATTGTCATCTTAAGCACCATTCACCAATTGCCAAATACTAGTTAGCTATTCTCTCCAAAGCAGACAGGTTAAGACAAGTAGCTGGGCACATTATCAGAATTAGAAGACTTTATGAATAACAGACTGATATGTTTGGAATCAATTCGCGAAATCTACTTATGTTACTTCCAGAGTAAGTTTCATATATTCAGAAATGAGGAGTGAAAACACAGGAAAATGAGGACTTCTCCAGGCAAGTGAAGGTGTAACTGGTCCTCATGCTGAACACTTGAGATGTAGCATGGAGCTAGGCAGAATCTGAGAGAAACTTGTTATCTTGACAAATAATGCCAGCAAGAATAAAGAGATAAACCCAAAGAAAATCCAAAAGCAGACATGAGAAAGTAGCTACTCTGCAAAGAATAAAACAAAGATGAGATGCAACCAAAATAAAACCATTGCTGTAAGGTACCAGGTGAAGGTCAGGAAACAAGAAGTTCATTCAAACGTGAATGGAAGTGAGGATGAGGATATGAAGTCCAGGGAATTTCTTTACCCATCTCTGCTAAGCTGGTAAATCCTGGGAAAGCAGGCACAGTTCTCTGAATCTTCCCTAGGTTTGGAGCACTGGAAGACCACTGTTTGCATCCTTCTACCAGAGCTTTCAGACTGAAATGGAAAGATGAGAAAAATAATGTGCAGTGCTGACAACAAACACGCTTTCCAACCATCTCTATTCTCTACTGGTCTGTTTAGGATATCCACATATCCATCTTAACTCATACAAGATTAAAGCCCCTGATGTAGCAAGACATTTTACATCTTTACAGCATATTAAAATATAATCTCCTCCTCCTCCCAAAGGATCTCAACAATGCCTTCTATGAGTGCAAGATGATTTCTTCCTCATGATTCTCATTTATCTCCAGAATCACTCTGCATTTCTACGGTGGCTTCTATCCCTGCATTTCCAAGGTTTATTATGTCAGACTCCTCACTTTGGTATGCAGTTTACCTCTATTCTTGAGCTACCAGCACGCCCAGCTTGTCACCAAAGAACTGTACTGCTGTGGCAAGGTCACAGGGTCTGAACTTGGTTCAGCAGATGTTCAGCTGGTTGTTGACTAAGCTTTAGACATCACCTTTCAGATGCTCTTGCTATTCCCACCATTCAAGGATAGTTTCCAATACACCAAAAGCATTCTGTACAGTTCTGCCTTGAAAGTTCAACATTTTCTCCTCTCGAGCCACTCTGGCGTGTGCAGGACGCTGCTGTGAACCTGAATCCTGGCAGCACAATGCCCGATCTTACTTGTCAACATAGAGTGCTATGCAATTTCACAACAGAAGTACAATCCAACATACAAGTCTCTGTCCCAATTCATTCACTCCAAAGTACCCTCAGGTGTGTGATGAAGCCTGTCAGACTATGTAACTCCTATCTAACTTACTCAAACGTAAAGCTTGCACAGTTGGGATAAATACCACAGAAGGGGGCAGCACATTAAGGGTGACCTATGGCTTCTCAGCATAACCTTCCCTTGAGAGGAAAGCAACACTGAACAGAAACAAAAATAAAACAAAACAATAAAGATAACAAAAAAACTATGCCTTGAATGTCTCCTGTCACTGAAAAAGCATCATTTGCTCTCAACAGAAAGACAAAAAGTTACCAGAATATTCGAAAAGCTTTCTAGATCTGCCTTAAAATGTTTTTTTTGTGTTTTACCTGTACCCTCTCTCTCCCTGTCATCCCCTTCCAGGCAGCAGTTACAGGGGATGCCCGGGAGCCTCAGGGTGCTGCACATGCCCTTGCCAGACAGCAGGGCGCGTGTGGGAGCAACTCAGCTCATCCCGGAGGTGCCGGGCCCTGTTCCCGGCCAGGCCCCACGGAAGGGCTGCGGAAGGGGCAGCAGCAGAGCAGCCTCTGTCAGGCACCGAACAGGCCGCTCAGACACCTAGGGGTTTCGGGCCTGTTATCTACTGAGGTTAAGCCCTGCAAGGGATATTTCTCCATTTGCTGCACTACACTTGACTTGTCCATTACATCCTTTTTCTCAGGAGGTCAAAAATTGACTATTTTAGGAGTGCTAATACAGCAAGATTTATTTCCTCTGGAAATAGTGAAAGACCCCTAACTAACATCAGCTGAAAGACAACATCAATGTCTTCTTAACACTCCCCTTTTAACACCACGTTAAGGCACTAATATGACACTGCAATGAATAAGTGCCTGTTCCCAGGCTTAGCCCTATTTAGCTCACAGGATCTGAAGAGATAACAACTAAAGGGCTGTGGCTACCACAAATCCAGCGTGACCTTCAGCAAAACCAGGAACACCACCAGCGTGAAAACTCCTTAAGCAGAAAAAGAAAAGCACCTGTGCCACTCACTGCAACAGGCAGAGGCTCAGCAATGCAGAGCTCAAATTAAAAAAGACATTAAAGACTTCATCATATATAAGGATATATGATATATATATATACCAAACAAAACTGCCACAGTACTAATCCAACCTAAAGCTTCAGCAGTTTGAGCAGGCAAACATACTGGCCTGTTCTGCTGTGCATAATAATCTATAATATGCTGTGCATATTACCTATGTACAAAGATAGATAGAGAGGGCTGGGTGCCTGGCTTTCATGCCTGACTTTACTTCATTTTACTTATAGGTCAATTGAGTCATGGAAGAGAATTTCACTGCAATTCCCATCATGAAATCCTTGCATAAATCTGGAACCATTTCCTGTGGAGAACACATGGAAAGTGATGAGAGGGAGAGATTCAAGTTGCCTTGGCCACGGTTGTGTGAGCAGCCAGAACAGCAGGAAAGCTGCTACCAGAACAATGTCATGGTAAAAGCTGAAAACAGATTTTTCTATCCTAAGTCTAGTTTTTCAATTAGCTCTCTTTTTCAATCTTGCTGTCTTCCTTAATAATAAATAAATCATAATCAGGCTGAGTCCTTGATATTTACTGCAATACAACCTTACTCTCTCCACATATCGTGCAGTTCAGGATGATCTCAATGAGCAGCAGTGGTTCATGACATGTTAATTAAACTGCCTTATTGCCTCTTCCTGGAGAATGTGATCAACACTGGTGGGCACCTCAGTTTTGGGGTGAGCAGGGTAATGTTAATAGCAACTATGGACAGCAAGCTGGCAGTTCCTAGCAAGGAACTACTTCCCAGCTGTCTGTGGCCAAGAGCAATTCAGTGCTTCAAACTGTTCGGTGAGGAATGAAAAACTGAAGAGTTTTACTCCCAGAATTCTGAAAGTACAGTTTCAAAGTATTTTTGTACCAGCTTCAATGATTTTCTGCCCTTTCTCTATAATTAATGATTATAAAATGTGATGGTTTTGCTTTAATTCTGAAGAATGATTAAAGTATAGAACAGATAAATGCTGCATAGGCAGTAGCCAGAGAAACTTCCTCCCTATTGCTCTGCTAATATGTGTCAAGGGCACCTTTAAGGCAAAAAATAGTTTAGCATCCTTAGACTACCCAGATTTAGGCCTTCTTGTAGGGGAATACAGCAGTACTGCATTATGTAAACAGCTATTTTCCTTGAGTTTCACATCTGAGCGCATAATATTAAAGATAAATTACAATCAGATGTCTCATTTGTCCTGTTAAAATATGGTAAATACCAAACTATCCATGTAGCAGTAAAGAGCTTCAAATTTCAGTAAAACCACAAGCGTTCAAATTTCACAGGTTCTTCTAAAATATTACTTAAATACTCCTCTGTTTTAAGCATCATTTCACTCAAGGTGCAAATGCCTCTTTTAAAAGGCTGAAGATATTTGCCTGGCTCTACCATATCCTTTCTAACAACAGCATGCAAGAGAAGAAAAAGCATATCCATAATAATTGTATAAGTTGAAGAAAAAGATTTTTGAGATACATGAAAATGTAGTTAGTTGAGCCTGAATATAAAGAAAAAATACGTGAGAAATAGTCTAGCATATTTAAGAAAAAGAAAATACACTGCTTAAAAACAGACATAACAGGATAATAGTAGACATAGTAAAAATAGAAAAACTGTGCAAGGATTTTAGGAGAGATTTAATACAATCTATCTTTGTACTGTTTTGAAACTCTAATGTCTCTGCTGCAGCCAATAAATGTCAGCAAAGAAGTGTTTGGAAGAGATCGTGCAAATATCTGGTGAACCAAGATATCATAATCAGATTAAGAACCTGAAAATCAGTCTGATCCCAGGTCCCCTCTTCTTACCCATCTTCTCCTGCACCTAGCTCCTTGTGACAAAGAGAACTTGGTCCCCAGGTGCGTCCTTTCTTCTTCTGGCCTCTCTTCTCTTCTTCTTCTCCTCCTTCCTCCTTTGGAAGGACTGAGTTTCGTCCCCATGTTTTACTGCTTTCAGCAGGAGTCACTTGACAAGCAGAGGAAAATGGGAGAAAACAGATAAACAGATTAACGAACTGGTCCCACAGAAAAGCAAAGAATAACACACAAGCCACAAGAGGAATGCTAATGAAAAATTCCTTTCTCATAACCAGCACCAGTCAACATTGATTCAACTATTACGTCCCGTCAAAATGAGACTAGTCAGGCTTTACAGCTTTAATTCATCACTGGCTTCTCCTTTAGAGCTACTGATCTGATGTCAGAAACAAGCCCCATGTTATCCAATAGGAACACTAAACACTAGTTAACATAGGCTTCTAACACAGGCTTGTCTCCGCTTTCTGTGCCATTATGAGATCTCCATCTTTACATGACAAGTGTTTTTTTTTTTTTTTTATTTCTTATTTCTTATATCAGTACCTTAAATCATTTCAACAATGTTTTGGAGACCTATTCTGTACATTTTAAAAGCTAGTCAGGGCACCCGAGGAATATTTTCTACATACTCAAGCAGCAATATTTCAAAAACCTGGGTAAGTAATGCTCAAATTCCAATAAAGAAGCTTCTCCCCTATGCACTCTTTCTACTTCTACAGGCATACATGGATGGCACAATGGCAATATTAGAAACGTTTTTATAGTCCCATAATTAACATGGATCTTGGCATCTTACCATGTTTATAGACCACACATATCCTATATTCAATACTACATTGAGTTTCTTACACTGTATAGCCCTGAGTCTGGGAATAATGGTAGGACTTGCAGGAGGACTGGAGCAGCTACTGATCAAACTTTTCCTTTTATCCATCGTTGGAGAAGCTTGCACAGTGAATTTATGCTGGAAATCTGTTTAACAAAAGACAAAATTTCAAACCAAAACAGAAAAAAAAACAGTTAAAATTCATTTTTTTTTTAAATGGAAGAAAAAAATCTTTATGGTAACTTTTGCATAGAGCAATTTACAGGAACAGTGTAGAAATTAAGTTTGCATCTAAGTTTTGCATTTTTTCCCCTTTTTCCCCTTTGTACATGCAATTACTTCAGGCCAAAGATTTCAACTTATAACCATGAAAAAGTACCTGTGAACGTGACTAACACACGCATGCCTCTCTCTCTCTCTCTCTATACATATATATATGTGCCCACACGTTAGCTCACATTTATGTCCAATATATCCCTGTATTATTTTCCTTTTCATCTTTATCTCTCCACATTTCTTGAGGTGAGCAAAACCACCAGCAATAGGTGTTTACAGATCTGAATAGTTTATAATCCTTGCTGCTCTTAACTCTTCTTCTGTCTTCCCCAGAAGACAGGGAATATTGTGCAAGCCATCATCCTTAAGATGACACTGAGCCTTAGGTGATTTATGAAACTTGTTCTCTTTTGTTCTTACACCTATTTCCATGCAAAATCCTTGGCAGAAAGGCTGAGAATATGCTACTTTTGTAGACTAGCATCTTCCCTCTTGAGAATCATTTCTCTGACACCTGAATCAAAACTTATCATCTCTTCCAGAAAGGTAGCAATAGGTGTCACACACTGCAGTGTAGTAGCGCTGCAATCCTCTAGTTGCCAGAACATTTTCAATCATTTAACTAGATTTCTCCAGCAAGAAATCCAATAGATTATTGCTTCGGTTGCACTATTATGCAAAATATTCCCACAGCAGGAATCTGTGTCAATTTAACGTACTTCATTAAATTGACGATCTGTATCATTGTGGTGCTAAACCACAACATCAACATCTCTACCCTGAATTATCTATTCATTCATTAACCTCAAATTCATTTTTGGCCTTCATACTTTCAGGAACATATCAGTCACAAGGGCATAAAAATTTAGTTTCTTCATGCCAAAGAGATATGGTTTCTTTCCCCCAACTATATCCAGTACCTGCTAATGCTTAAGTATCAGTGCAAAGAAATCACTAAAGCTACAGAATTCACCTGTTCCTCCTGTTTCACCTGATGTTGCCTAAGATGTTACCAACCTGAGGGGAGGCTGATGTGATTGCCATCCTTCAACTTGAGCCGGCTCTTCTTGAACTTCCCCATGCGTTTCTTCACCCGGGGCTTCTCCTGGCAGAGCTGGTGGATGATGATGTTGAGTTCCCTTTCCAGGATGTCAATCTCACGTTCTGCCAGCTCCTGTTCCCGCCGTCGCAGCAGCTCCTCATGATTTTTCTGTTCAACAGCAGCACGAGTCAGCTCTTCTTCCCATGTGCGTAGCTCCTGCAGGAGGATCAGGAAGGAGAAGGAAGAAAGCCCCAAGTCACAAAATAGATTTAAGACCAACTTTTCCCATTTTGAAGGTACAGCAGCAATGATTTGGGCTCACAGCAGTGCTAGCACCACTGTTTAAAGACTCATCTGAAAGACAAAGATGTAAAACAATCATAAAGGACTTCTGTGCTTGCTATTCAAAGCTTTCTTCAAAGCAGGTGCAAAGTCCACAAGGCAAGAGCCTATTTAACTTACGTCCATCCATTATCAGAACAATGATTCAAAGACATTACAAACTCCAGTAATGCATCGAAAAATCAACTCTAGGTGACACTAAAAGATCATCCCTTTTTGGATTACAAAACGGCAGAATCACAATCCGAAAAGGATGTGGATAATCATGGAATATTTTTCTCTACTTACCTTCTCTTTGGCTCTGAGTTGATCAAACATCTCTTGAATCTCTTGTTTCCAGTCTTCCTGCAGGGAATGGAAGGAATCTTTGGGCATTTCAAAGAAACCAGATTCTTCTATGGCTGTGAGATGGTCCAGGATGGTGGTGAAGGAAGGCCGTGAGTGTGGATCAGGATTCCAGCAATCTAGAACAAGAAAAAGACGAGAAACTATTAAACATCTCTATTAATAAGGAGGTTTTTAACTATTCAGTACTTCACGGATCCCCTGTGGCTAAGAACGGAATACATACTATTTGTGCTACAATGTCTTTCCCATTTCTCACTTTTTTGGCTATTGTCCAAGCAAGGGCTGAGTCTGGAATCAGTGCTTTTATGCACTTACAATATCCAGTGTGACTTAAGATCTTGAACTAGCTGACCTCTAGGTTCTACTGCTATAACATGCTAAATAAAGTAAGGGCTTAGAAAGTTATACATTCAAGTATATTTAAAAATAAATCAAATAGTTTTGTTAAATATTTTGGTCTAAATTGCAAGTTCTCATATGTGGTGCCTACTCTTATACAGATTATATATAAAACTTTTTTATACATAGTTCTTTTATCATATTTATATGGTGGAGTTAAATGGAGTATTACAGCTACTCTAAACACAAATACACAGGGTATCTAACAGTGTTCATTCTAATGCTATGCTCTATAAATTAAGTGATTATCAATCACCAAGTTGAAACTCTTTCATGAAAAAGCAAGCTAGGCACAACTTGAGTGAAAGTAACAGATGGAAGTCAGTAGTGACACCAAATGCTGGGCATTTTCCACTTGCTTTTATCTTTTTATTTTTTGGGGGATGGGAGGGGAAGAGGAAAAGAGAGAGAGATTTTATTGGGTTTGATCAGACTTTTGTTCTTAAGAGAAACAGTGATAAACAAGCCTTTTCTTTTAAAATGTAATGAAAGATGTAATCAGTTAGAGAGTTGTAGGAATACAGAATTTAAAGTACCCATTTTACTACAATAAGCAGCTCAAATTGCAATAATACAAGAAGATACCTCCTCCTAACAGTGAGAGGAAGTGATACTGCAACCATATATGGGAACAGAAAACAGCATGGAGTAACATCTCAAGCTATGAAATCATCAAGATCCTGCTTTTAAAAGCCACTAAGTTAAATTGTTTGACTTTTGAAAACAAATTCTTACTCAATCAATCCTCCCTTCTAATTTTACCCATGTCTACTTCTTCAGAAAACATGTTTCTCATTCTATATTGTCCCATACTGGCATTTATGCAGGTTCTTGCTCAACATGTATCCTTCCTCTTGTAGCATTCCCGCACACCAAATTTGGCAAGAATCAAACAGAATAAACAAATAAATAGTAACCAAAAAAAAACCCACCTTCAAGTATATTCCTAACAGCTAAGGAATACAGCTTTTGCGCAGAGGTTAAAGTAACTAGCATATAAGTATCTCTCTATGCACACAAAGCTGTTTGTCTGTATGGTTACTGGCTTCAAGACATGTCATGTCACTAGTAGAAGCAGGAGTTCTGAAAATGTTACCCAAACTTCCTAGCCTTTATATTCGGAACAAAAGCAAGCAATCTTAACGACCTTTTGTTGGGCATCACCACAAAAAAAAAAAAAAAGCTGTTAAAATACAGAATGTCACAGGTCGAACTAACTGTTGAACGTCTCCATCCACTTTTCAGTTTTGTGGACTGAAATACTAAAAACTTGACATATCTGTAGACATGGCTTTGTTTTGGGGAGCTTCGGTGCTGAAACTGTGCATCAAGACGCTGGTATTTAAGCACCTGACCAGGTTCCAGAAGGCCGAACCCAGAGCCCAGCTGTGTTCACGCCTTGCGAGCTGCTTCTCTTGGCGAGGTGGTGAATGAAGCGGGGATGTCGCGGAGCGCTCCGAGGCTCCCCTGCTGCTGGAATTAGCAGCGATTGGGGATACAGCAGCACTCCCAGCGCCACGACCCCGGGCCCTCTAGGCCAAGTTTTCAGCACAGCAAAGCAAACGTGACCCACAGCAAAACAAAATGCCAGAGCCAAATACATGAGTGAGAGAACAGGATAACTACGCAGGTGGCCCTTGGTTTTCATTTTCCCGGGCAGAGATCTGCCATTATTTGCACTAATGAGCACTGTTGTAACGTACAAATCTGTCCTGTGATGAGGAGTGTTCAGCTTTGTAGTCTCTGCGAAGACCACCGGGGCAGCAATTGAGCGGGAAAAGCAGCATTAGGGGGAAGAGTTCACGGGGAAAGGAAACGGCCTCTCGGCAGAGCGGCTTTGGGGAAGGGGCAGGCAGCAGTTGTTTGCCTGCCCTGCTCTCCTCCCGGCGCCGAGCACTGCCGAGCCACCCGGGGCCTACCCCACGGTGCCGGGTTCAGGCAGAGGCCACACGCCTCTCCCTGCCTGCCCCAGCAGAAGGCAGCATTTCTAACCCCATCAACAGGCACATCACATTTAAAAAAAATCCACGGCCTGAGTTATAGGGAGCCTTGTCCAAATAAAACACCCTGGCACAGCTCAGAGTTGTCAGATCCGTGAATGTTTCAGGCGCAGCTTCTTGCTGTACAGTGCTTCCCAGTTACTGCTGTTTATTATCCTGGAGATCGATTCTTTTTTTTTTTTTTTTTTAGCAAAAGACTTTAAGGAATTAGAGGCTTCATTTAAAATCCCAAACCTACAACAGAAGACTGCAGAAATGCAAGAACATTCCAAAGCAAAGCAACCTGAGATGTTTTCTTGCATAAAGAAAATCCTGTCTTGGGGCTAAAAACACCGCTGGGAGTCACAGAACGTCAGTCCTGTGTTGAGTCTCACAACTTGATCACTGAGACTGAGAAAATACATTTCATTTCTACTTATCTTGGTAATTTTTTCTAGCAGATGGGAGATAAAAATGTTTAATATATATGAACACTTGAAAAACCCAGGGAATAGAGCCAGCGGAAAAAAAATGTATTAAAAGTTTGACTGGAAGGGAAAGGGGGACCGATTAAGACATGGAAGTGAAATTTCATTGTCTGCGCATCTTCACTAGGGAATATAAACAGCTAGAAGGTGACAGCCACAGCTCCCACTTTGACCATAAAGCCTGCTGATAAAAACTAAAACAACAAGAAAGCACTATGTCATGTCACAGCACTATGCCATGGAGGGACCCAAAACAACTTGTGCCACCAAATGAAACCACCCAAGATACCTGCACTCTTACATATCAAACCAATGCAAGGAGGCAATGCTCCACGGGGCTACGGCCGGCTTACCTTCCATGAGTTTGGCAAAAGGCTCTGGACACGTGGAAGGGATGGGAAGGGCAAGTTTATTCATGGCAACACCATACGCAACTGCGAGACCATCAATTCCTCGGAATGGTACCTCTCCTGTTAGCAGCTCCCAGAGCAACACGCCATAGCTAGCAGGAAGGAAATGGAAAAGAGATTAGGTGCCTGACTTTAGCACATTGTTTGTTAAGCAACAACAACAGCCCCTATCAGAGCAAATCAGGTATAGTGAAAAAAGTAAAATTCCTGTTTTCTGGACAAATTTGTCATGACAGTCAAGCTAGAAAATGCTTTATTTTTACCTGCATTTTATGATAATTGAAGATCTAAAATAAGCTTATCAGTGTAAACGTCAGAATCGCTTAAATAGTGACACAGATCAGAATAGGTCCTTGGTAGGTCCTATGTACAACAGGCTAGGTGTCAGCTTCCCCTCTTTAATTGCTAGCACATCTCATCATCAAATAAGTCTGATGAAAGAGTAGCAGTCACATGGGCCCCAGCCCTTCACTCCTAATCTTGAATTTCAATGCATCAGGTAAGTATCAAGCAATATAAGTGAGATTTTTGCATACTCGGCCTCAGTGAATGCTTGGGTGAGAGGTTGTTTTGTTTTGACAAAAGTGATTATATGGCAGATTCTCCCTCTTGAATTCTACAGTCAACAATGACAAAGGTTTTATTATTAGCATTCTCTCCCAAAATAGTCATTCTTAGGCCTAAGAATGACTTAAATATATATAAAAAAAGTCCCTCTGAAAAAACTGAGTTTGTTCAGCTTTAAAAACAAAGTAATAAGATTTTGTCTTATTTCCTGTAAAGAAAAAAAACAGGTAGACATTCATCACAGCTGAATATATTTGTTCCTAAAAAAGGAAAATAAATTAATGCACTAAAATGCATGGTAGTTACTTATGTCTACTCCCAAACACACAAACTTATTTCTATGTCTAAATCAATCACCAGTCCAGCCTTCTCTATTTCTTTAGGCAACTTCTACAGGACTATAGCAAGTGTTTTCCATGGTAATCTCATTTTCCTCAACTTAAGACATGATCTAGCAAACGCCTTAAGTGGAAATATGCACTGTTAATAAAGTAGAAAACTACTATTTTAAAGTAAAACTATTTAACAGATTTCATTTTCATCAAAAAAAAGCAAAAAAAAAACCACTTCAAGAGCTTCAGTTTCTTAAAGAACCTTTCTAGAAACAGAACACTCACTACAGTCATGTCTGGATCTCTACAACTTTCAACTTTTTTCCTTGTTCTTTATTTAGCCTTCACATGCTGCTGCATAAAATATCAATATATACATTCCAACATAATCATATCATATGGATCTTCAAATATACACATTCTCCAAAAATATAAATCATGAGATTCTTATTACAGTTCCCCTGATTTGTGGTCATTTTGTATTTCAAATTCCCAGTGTGTGAAAACTGCTTTGACAATTTGTTTCCAAAGAGCTGAAACATGGCAAAATATATTTTTTTTTTTTTTTTTTTGGAGGGAGGGGATGGGTGGAAGTCACTTGTTTGTTTAATTAATTCTACAATCGCATCACACTGGGCTTTTCTTTTCAAAACAAGAGGAACTTCCCATCTTTCACTCCACGCCGCTGAACCTTGCGGGGTCAGCGCCGGCGCTTCCATCCGGGGGGCTGCACGACGCCGAGCGAGCGCCCGGCGCATCTGATAACACTTCATAGCACGAGGGGCCCTCTGGTAGGAACCGAGGCACCCACCTCCTGCCCCTTGTCTTGATTACACACCAATAAAGCTGCAGCCTCTGAAACCTCCAAGACCAAAACCTCCAAGGTATCTCCAAGATATACACTGGTAACTGGAAAGAAGGCCTCAGTTTTTGTTTTTTATTTTTCAGCATTTGTTTCTGTTTGTTTGTCCCTTTAATGGTGAGACTAGAAGAAAAAGTAGCCCCAGAGAATGAATTTCTGGTTGTAACGGTAACAGAAATAATCAGATTCTGATAGGGTAACTTCAGCCCCGGAAGCAGAGCTGATAGCAGAGGGGCATTCTGTCCCTTCCCACTCCTCTTTCCCGAGTTCTGCTTCAGGATTACAAGGCAATGCCAGCCCTAACTTCATAGGGAAATGAGCAGACCTGTTTGCTTCACAGAGTGCTGGATGTCTTACAGCAGCACCTGGCTGAGAACAACAGCTTGCGTTTTAGAGGGTGACCCCTCCAACCAGCCACACGCACACAGATGCAGCAGTCAGAACCTCTGCATTTTAGCATTATTTAGATCCAACACCCAAGGGACCTCGCGTACTGAGAACTTCATTTGCCACTGAAACACGCAGTGCACTAATGTGCTTCTTTAACAGGTTTAAGAAAATAAAGGTGAAAAGACATCCTGCAGAGGCCAATACATTAGTATTGGTAGGCTGTCAATTACTAGAACATGATCCAGTTTTACGAGCCCAAGGTTAAAGGGTGAATTCCTTCAAGCTTCAAATTCTGACAGAAGAGCCCGACTCTCCTGTCTCACTGCAAAAGCAAGTGGAGCACCAGCTCATCAGAGCACATACCCAGCTCTTTTTCCCTCGTCCTGAACCTGTGCCAACATTAACATTCACCATTTCTGCTCCTCCAGACCAAGGTCCTTTCAAGCCTCTCGCCTTTGGTGGCAAATAGCAGTACGAATATGACAGACAGAGCCCCAAAACACTCCCTTTGCTTTGAGAAACCCTGAATCAGAGATGGCTTTTGCATATTTAGTAGCCTGACAATTTTTTCTTTCACTGATTTATCTCACTCTTTGGAATCCCTTCACCCTCTGCTGCGTCCTGCAGTAACGAGTTCCACTAATTATGCAGAGGAAAAAAAATCCAAATATTTATTTTGAACCTACCTCTTGATAACTTCATTTGTTCCCTAGATTTCTTGTATTACGAGAAGGAGCGAACCTATGTTTCCTAACAGCTTCTTCCATGCCATCCACAATTTTACAGTCTCCTATGACATCCTGCCTAAGTCTTCTTCTTTCAAGCCTGAAATCTAGTTAAATCTTAATCTAGTTGCTCTTTTCTTGAACAGAAGCCATTTCATACCTTTGATTGACCTTGACATCTTTTGCACCCTTTCTCATTCCACTCGGACGTTTTTGAATTGACAGGAACAAGCCCTTCTGCAGGAAGGGGTACTGTACTTCCTGTTTTATTTCTTTATTTCTTTCCTATTAATTCCCAATTTTACACTTGCCTGACTCCTTCTAGCTGCTACCCTCAATAATTCCAGCACTATTTTTCCTGAATAATAAAAGTAAAATTTAGTACCTGTCGTTGTACACTTGAAATTTTCTCCCTTGTGCACTACGTTAATCCCATGTGCACTCCCATGTGCATTACCATTAAATTGCCACTATTTCATCATACAGAGTAAAACTTTTCCTCAGATCATCACAGTGGATTTATTTTCCGTCCTGGATCACTTCATATCACCAGGAAATGGTGTTTTCTAACCATTTCATTACAATGCTAAATCACTCATCAGTATTTTGGACACAGAATTCCCAACTTTAAAAAAAAAAATTTCTTTAGTAGATTGAAAGTTGACTAACTGATGGGAAACCATAGACTTTCTCTCTTTTCTCTCATCAATTTATTTGCTTTAAAAGCTCTCAAATTTGTGAAAAGCTTTTAGAAAATGAACTATGTTATAAGCAATAATACTATTTGTCCACATGTTCTGCAAGACTCCTTCAAAAAGTCTCATAGGTTCATCAGGCAAGACTTCCTTCTACAGAAGCTGACCATCCCTCACATATGTCCATATGTCCACCAGTTTCACTCATTACTGATGTTTCTCCCACTTTATAGAAATGCTCATCAGACTTACTGATGCCCCATGAAGCTCTTCTGAGAGCTGGCATCACATTCGTCACCTTCCCTTTCTCCGGTATTAACGCAGCTTTGGGCCACAGATTACAGACCACAATGATTAACTCGCCTATTGCTCCTTCACCTTCCTTTAGCTCTTGGATGTTACCGTAAATCTCAATGATCTGTTACTGTTCATTTAAAGATAAAAATTCAACTTCCAAGGCCTGCAGTACTCCCTTTTGGGGCACATAATGCAATGACTTACCAAAGTCTTATCTTCTTTGCACTTTTACATCTTGATAACTTCCTGGCCTTAGGTTCTTCAGCAGGTTTTTCATCTGTGCTGTATTTGGAAGCAATTTATTTGTTCTTGTGGGTTTTTTTTGCTAGACAGTTCTCACACAGCTTGCCAGCACTTAAATCTATGACTTGTTTTCCCAACTTGGGAAACAGTTGCAACTTTTTGAAGAATGTCTTCAGTTCTAATAGTCTCTTCTTTAATCTCCTTCTTTTCAAGTCTTTCCTATATGTTTATTCTAAATTCTAATGTGCTTTCTTTAAATGATATCAACATTGTCTATCACTGTCTTGTGTACCACTTTCTTTTGCTTTTAATGAAGTTCTTCAGTGGTGTCATTCCTCTCCCTGAGATTAAACACTATTGCAATGACTGTCTATTGATCTTGCAAATATATAGAAATTAAGTATACTTTGACCACTGTAACACAGCAGTAGGCTGAACATCCTACACATGGCTGCAGACTAAATGAAAAAGTACTTCTTCTAAAAGCCCCCAAATGGCTCTTCCATGAAGATGTCATTTTTGAAAGGTAAAACATTAATCTCTTCTTCGTGTTTCAAAGTAACATTTGCTCTATCCATTTTGGGCCCAGAGGTGTAATCACCATTTTTAGTAGCACATCCTGCATTTTTGAAATTTCTCTCTGCGCCCCAACAAGCCTTTAATATGTCACTGTAACTGCTGACATCCTCATTGGACAATTAAACTTAATGCTGCATTTTTTCTATTTCGATGGGGAGTTTCAGTCATTAAAGACTCCATCTTCCCTGCTGACACAGATAGCTTAAATATGACATATCATTTCTTCACCTAAGCAACCTTTTTATTTTTCCTGTATAATTAATACTTTTGACATTATGGCCCAATGATTATTTCTTTTCAACAAGTTTCAATTTTTTTACCACATTAATATCCTTATTTCTTAAAATAAAGAGAGAAAAAGAAAGATTCTTTTTGGCCTCTTAGGATTCCTACGTAAGCTACAGAGAGAACAACTGAATTGAATGTGTTTGTCCTGTTTAAATTTGATTGTTCCTATTACCCTTCAGTTTAGATGCAAATTTTGATATGAAAAGTTAGGACAAATTGCCTGTTTTAATAAAGAAAACAAATAAATAGCTTGTTTAATAAATAGATTATTTTACCAGTTGAGCATGAAGTATGCATTAGTTACTTAATGAAATGGTTGATACCCCCATAGCATTTCTTGCAAGTTAATTTTCAAGAGACAAAGTGGACAGGTCTTTATCTCTCCCACGAGGTCAGAAGTACCTATTGCAGAGAAGATCTCTTCCTTGATGACCCCAAACCTGATGCCACCTCCTCCTCATGCCCTGGCAGCGCGAGGCTGAGCACGCTGCTTCACACAACTTGTGAAGAAAGCCCTGTTTTGGGGCAGCAAGCAGCAAATAGAGAGCAGAGGAGGTGCTGAAGAGAGTGTTTTCTGTTACCTTGCAAGCAAGAGACTGGAAAGCACAAAGCAAAAAGCCAGAACTAGAAGAGATTTATACAAAAAAAGGAGTGTGAAGAAGGGGCTCTCCTCACGCACAAACAGGAAGGAAAACTGGTGAAGCTAATTTATTTTTCTACTAAATGGTATTAATCTCTGGATTTCAATTACAGCAGGAGCCATGTGATACTGACCACGTAATCAAGTCCACTGACATTTATATGTATAACTAACCATCTCCCGGTGATCCAGTAATCCTCTAAGCCATTTAACATCAGGTTCAATCCTACTCACTGGATTGTCAGGGAGAGGGAGGCTGGAGGCCTGCAGGATTTCACATGTGATTTTGCCACCTCCCCTGCAACGCTCTGAACTCACAAAAGAAAGAAAGAAAAAGGACAAGCTCATTTCCTTTCTCACTGTTATTGTTCAAAGGCATTTGTACCTTGGCTTCCTCTCAGCCATCTCCTGAGGTTTATGGCTCTGCATAAGAAAGGAACCATCTGTCCACGAAGGGGATCCCAGCAACAATAGAAACCACAAGATCATTTTGCCAAAGAAATTTTAACTTCGGAGTTAACCATTTTTACTGGCGATTAGCACTTTGCATTTGGCATATTATGGGACTGTCAGGAGCAGAAGCTGACGTCTCCTGCGTATGTCAACACAGTCAGTTACTGTGTGTGCTTCTCCCACATCAGCTTCTGTGACTACTGCTTGTCAGCACTCATCTGCCAGGAACTGAGCTCTCAACAGTCCTTCCCTTGTGTCCCTACACACAAATACCAACAAATAGCCTGCAAGTGGCCAGCTGTGGATCAAAGTGATGCACAACACTTGATTCAAATGAAATATTCTAATGCTTGAAGTTTCTACACCCACCACTAACATCCTAGACTATCTTGATCTGCTAATCAGATATTTAAGTAGTTCTGATATTTTGTTCCTAAATTAAAATCTAACTCCTTACTATTTTACTGTATTTCTCAGAGTAGATACATCTTACAAGTAGATGCATCTTATATCCTCAACTGAGGAAATAAGATGCAGGGGGTACGGTGGCCTTAACTTGTGTATGCCAAACATAACACAAAAAAAGCTTCTCTTTTAAGCACCACAAGAGAAAAATGGGGAAGTGAGAAGCCAAAATGAAACACATTGAAGCAGTTAAAATGCCAGGGGAATTTGCATTATATGCCTACTAGTGTTTGCTGGCTGTGCAATACTGGAGAAACTACAGTCTCTGTGCTTCAATTTCACTCCTGAAAATCCCAAACAAAACAAATCCCTCTCTTCTCAAACACATCATTAGACTAATAGAACCAGTATGACATTTTCAAGTGAAAAAGTATCTTCTTCCTTCTCTGTGCAATTTAAGTACCGAGTTTTAGCTGTTTACCTAAACCACCTAGGCGTACGACACCACCAACCACAGCACATTTACACCAGATAACACCACAAATTTACTCTAGACCCTAGCAGGAAGGGCTTAAGGAGTGTTACTAAGAGTGGGCTCTACACTGGCCAAGGCCCTGGCCACAGACTGGAGTGACTGGACTGTTGTTCTTTGCCTGCCACCCAACAGAGTGGGGAAAAGCAAAAAAAAAGAAAAAAAAATAAATGGAACTTGATCTATTTTTGAAAGGAATTGCATGAAGTGGCTGTTTGTGCTGAGATAAAAGACTGAATCAGGAAATAATAGCCCTGGCAAGCACTTTTTTTTTTTGCAGCAACTATCTGTTTATTTTTGCAGCAAGGACACAAGTGGAATAAGGCATCTGTTACAGGGCTGGGCAACACTTCAGCTAGGACCTCCTGCAGTGTTATTTTAATAGGCTTGTTAGAAAACATATGGGAATAAAAAGGTGTGTGAATGTCAGGGGCAGACTCAGCCAATGCTGTTGATGCTGCACAGACTAAATGGAAGATTGCTCATCAGGCAAAAAGATCCCTTAGCTCTAGTGATTAACCAAGAGCTTTAAAGTGGACAAGAGGAGGGCTATATCTAATAGGATAAAAAAAGTTCATCCTGTTAAGAACTTCAGTGGCATTCTCAGGTGGGGACAGGATTTCTTACAGTTGTCCACAACTGCTCTGTAAAATCCAGTGCTGTCAAACACTGACCACAGCAGCATCTTCCTCTGCAGGCATGCCTCAGACCGAGTGATCTACTCGGCTTATTTTAGGCACCTGTTGAGCTTGCTTTAGCTGTGGCCCAATGTACTGGGCCACTAGGGAGACAACATGATGCAGCTTTCTTGACAGCCATGAGCTCTGTGTAAGAAAGAACACTTAGAGAAATCAACCTGTTTCCAGGAGAACGTGGTAGCCATAAATAAAAAAGTGATTCCCTAACCTTAAAACAGAATTATAATAATCCAAAGAACTATCAAAGATTTTGAAGTGATTTACAGGCTTTAAAGTCAATGACCACACTGATATTTTTAAATGGTTATAAAGGTTGTTGAGCTACCTTCATACAAACCAATCAGTCCACTAGGTCACATCTCTTTCGAAATGAGGCCGACTCAGACTGGTTCAGAACATCTTTTCTGATATAATAATAATATATATATATGATAAGAAACAATACAAAACAGAACCACTAGCCGTTATACATTTCCATTTAGCTTAACTAGAGGTTTAACTTGCTTCAAATTTTATCCATTAGGACTACCACCATCTGCAAAACCCAAGATCACAGACCTACGCCAAGTAATATATTATCAATTCTTCCAGCTGGGATATTTCTTTATCTTGATCTAGTTCACAGTACGGACACTCTCTGTGGGAGCACTACTCACCAACCACTGGATCCAGCTGTTCTGGATCCACTCACCTTGACATGTCAATATCTCTCCCCACAAGAAAACTGAAATTGTGTACTTGCCTGTTCTAAATGTTTAATGCTAATTCCATATATCACCCAGAAAACTCATTTTCCAAAGGCTACCTACTGAATTTGGGATTTACCAATTTACTTAAAAGAGTCAATTTCCATAAATCTATGAGCCAATCTTTACCTCCCACCAAAACAGCTTCCTGTCTCAGAAATCCTAGTGCCTGAATGGAAATAGCAATATTTGCATGTGAATAATTACTTAACGGATTCCCAACTTAGATTCAGCTACAGGAGAGACTTCCGATTTTATGCCAGAGACTGAAAGGTTGAAAATTACTCACACAGTACAAAAGTGAAAAACATGATCAGGTACAGCTTATATAATAGATACCAGAAAATAAAATGATCCTACTGATCTTGGAAAAAACAGTAAAACAAATAGTAACTGTAGGCATTTCTCAGTCTAGTCTTTGATTACATCAGCCAACACCAAATAGTACAAAATGTACAAAACTTTTTTTTAATATAGTAAGACAAGTATTATGAATCAATATAAGTTTATGGAACAATAAAGATTCAGAGGCATACCTGAGCTGAACCCACCACTTTCTATAAAGCAAAGGTTTACAATTAGTCTCAAAGTAGACTGAGAATCTGGCAGATGTAAGGAAGTTTTATTTGCTTTAAGCCAAGCATTTTAATATTTGGTTCATCATTACTCATTTCTAAGCACAAAGTGGTAGGAAAGCTTTCCTGGCATGTGTAGTTACCCTTTGGTATGCAACAAGTTAATGCCAAACCCATACCTCCACACGTCGCTGCCTTTGGAGAACATGGAGGAGCGGATGACCTCGGGAGCCATCCAGGCGTATGTCCCAGCCGCACTCATTTTGGTAGTTTTATGCCATTCCCTGGCCAAGCCGAAATCCGTGATCTTCAATATCTTGTTGCTCAGATCTCCATTTTCCACCTTTTCGAGTATCAGTACTGGAGAAGAGGGAGGGAGGGGGGAGAAGAAAAGGGATTCAGAGTCAGGCTGGAATTTAGGCAAAATGGATCCTCCCGGTAAAAGAAACAATTTCCCAAATTTCAAGATTCTCCCTGATGTTTGGTTATTCAGACATATCACACTAAGGTTCTTCAAGCTGACCCTGTCATCCAGTAAGGGAACAGCTGTCCAACATGTAGCTCTAATTAAACAAAATGTCAAGCCTTAAAGAACAAACAGATAATAACTAAATGTACTGCCAGCGTCATTCTATATAATACTTGTTTGCCAAGAGGAAGTGAACCACTGTAGCTTCTAGAAAACCAGATAAAAGGAGACATTTCTTAATCCTCTCTCTGCAAGCCAGTTACAGCATCTTTGTCTTCAACAGCTTAGACGGCTTTTTTGAAGCCTTGATACACTCATGGGCTACATGTACTCCTCACTTAAATATACTAGGAGTGGAAGGGCTATAAACAGACTTAAGTTGTGATTTTTAAAAACTGATTAATGATCAGCAACAGAATACCCAATCCAAGATTTTGGACGTGTTATCAACTCTTCTTCTCATCATTAAAAATATATAAATATTTAGTTCAGCTGCCAAAGTTTCTACTGTGCAATAGCAGTAAAAAAAAAGTCTAAGCAATAATTTAAAACAGCTGGAGACAGAACTCAAGAACCCTTTGGTATAAGGCACACATTCCCCCTCACCCAGCAGGCCACACCACAGTGAAATAAATGTAACCTTATTAACCCTTCTATCTTGATGTAAAATAACCACACAAGCCGTAGAGCAATGTAAGATCAAATCACAGTATATAATAGGCTACTAAACTTGTATAACTGCAGTAGCTATAAGGTCGTGAAACTATTTGAAACTATTTTCACTTTGTAAAGGGTTGCAATGAAAAAGAAGTTGTATCATTGACTTGGTATCAAACAGTATCAAGCTACTTAAACATCATTATGCAGCTCCTAGGTTTCTTTTTTTTTTTTAAACATACTCAAGTACTTAAAGTAAGACAATTATATACAATAAAGATATCTATAGAATGCAAAAAAAACCACTCTGCAATAACTATAGTAAATATATGAATTAATTTCAAGATGATTTTTAGCAGGCAGTCCATGAATAGATTAAGAGGAGTCAGCTGAGATTTGACATGGCTGCTTTGAAAAAAAAAAATCTTACAATAAAAAAATTGTTATGTGTTCCCAACACAAACCTCCCCTTCAATAACCAAAACATAATGTCCATGAAATAAAAATCATGAATGATTTGAAGCCCTTTACATATTATGTAATACAAGTCTCATTGCTTATATATTCTATTTATTATATAAAACTTAAAATGACTTTTCTCTTCAAATTCATATGACAGCAATCCCATCTACAACACCTCATAGACCATAACGCATTTGATTTCTATGGGCCAACATACATCGACTTACGATCAAGGTCTGTGATCTTACTTCCTATTTTTTTGCTATTTTTTCTTCTAATATTACTGAACGTTTCATTAAGAGGAAAGAGGAAATTAAGGCCAAAGTTCCTGCTCCACAGAAAAATGCCATCACAATTTCAAAAAGACTTTCCTGAAAACACAAGTTGGCAAATACGGAGATGCTCAAGTGACCCCTCTCTGTGAAGCTTTCTAACAACAATAAAGGACAAGCAATGTGGAAGTCACACTCTTGTTCCTTAGGAAAGAGCTTATATGCTTCTAGATCCACACTTCAGTATAGAAGAAAACCACAAAACGAGGTGAAGGTACATAAGTAGCCTATCTTTATCCCTCTTCCTAACTTAATTTTTCCTTCTTTATAGCACATGAAGAACTATTATCCAAAAATAGTAGTAAATGTTACCGGCTACAAGGATGTAAAAAGCTTCCTAGGACTTATTTGTTCTAGCATCTACCCACTTTATCTATAGAACAGTCAGAAAAGGTATAATTTAATCTTAAATTTAAACACGGTAATATAGAAATACAGAAAGATACAGTGAGGTAGAAAAGGTAAGGTAAAACTTTGAAACAAAAGAGCAAGGGTGCTTTGATCTTCTTTTGTTCCTCTAAGCGCAACAAGTGACAAGCAAACTTGTTTTTACAAGGCAAATCACATCCTGTCTGAATCATCTCATAGCAGGACAGGGAGCCAGATATTACAGTTGGGCTGCTATACCCTCCTGGCAAGGGATTATTTAAACCTTGTTACCTTTATTTGTGTTCGGATCTAACAAAATAATTAGTACTTGCACAGACCTTTTATATCCATGAATTTTACTACTACCTTTTTTTCTTCAACTGCGGGCTATAAGATAAATTACCATGACAAAAGAAAAATAATAGAAGAACTGAATTTATTGCAGGGTCCTTGATTCCTGAATTACATCCTAGGCTCCTCTTTTATTTCCTTTCAGAATCATATCTTTTTCCAGCATCTACTTCAGTTCTCCTCATCTCAGTAGTAGAAGACTGACTTTTTTTGACTAGGAACCTATCAGATTTTCCTGTCAACAGCCTCTTTACTCTCCCTGTGTTCATTCCCATTTGAATAAAGAATCCCTAAAACAGAGGAAGTTTTAACTGTTCAGCTTCCCCTTTAAATTCTTTTACGATGATGCCTAAAAGCGCCCAATCCAGGTTGCAAAGATGCTGCAAATGCACTTTACCTGCCATGCTGATCAATACAGTCTTCTCTTCTGAGCTTTATCTACAACCAACTATCACCCTCCATGGTTACTGCTTTGATTGTAAATTCTCTCCTGCAGGAACTACTTCTGTACTTTGTGGTGTCTCACACTATATATATCACAACTCAACAACATACTTCCTATGTCAACAATAGTTAGAGTTAACACAGCTTTCCATCTTCTAATGGATCTGATCACTCAAGACAGAACTAACAGTGGAGAGATGATAAACAAAGCTATCAAAAAGTCTAATAAAAATATAATAATAATAATTACACAAAGACAAGCGTTCTATACCAAAAAAATCCAACTAATTCACCAAGAGTTAATCCTTGGCATTCTGGTCTGCTGATTTAAAAGACCTATATGAGGCCAAGAAGTTGAAAAAAGTGGAAAATTTAATTAAAAAAATCTTTCCCATTCCCATCCTTAAGGAGGTAAATGGTTTGGCAGCAAAAATCCTGGGCCAGGTTTTCAGGCAGCTGGAGAAGGGCGCGCGCTGAATCAGCAGGAACAGGCGGAACAGGCGTCAGCTCCTCAGTCAGTCACCACTTCCTTCTTCCAGCACGACGCAGACAAAAAGGCCTCTTCCTACGAGCACGCACACGCAGAGCCAGGCAGGCCCTACATGAAGGGATGTTCCTGGCTACTGCTGGTAACAACACCAAACAACCTTCTTCCTGCCTCCATGCAGCTGACCTTAAGTAAGATGAGGTTAGGGGAAATCAACTGGAGGCAGGAAAAGGGACTGGTGAAGCTACCTGGGTACTACAAGCACGTTCAGGCAGCTTTCATGTCAACCGCTACAGCAAAATAACATTATAAAGCTCAGCTGATGAACTTCCCCTCTAAAGATGTCTTCTGTGCCTTTTGCAAGTCAAAAGGTATTTTTATGTCAGGCTCGTGTAAGAAATTTTCCTCAAGTTCATTAAGCAGGCAATGTATTATAAAAAAGGAATGGACCAACATTTACCAGTGGGAAGACAAGACAAACTGACTGGGAGAAGAGCAAAAGGCAGAATTCAGGGACCACTTGATAGACCAAGTCTGCAGCAGTTCTTAGTTATCCTGTCACCCTTGACAGCAAGTCCAGTAACCAACTATTGCCAGAAACGGGAAAATTTGTCCCTACTCTGGTACTTCGCAGCAGAGGATATCAGCTGCATTTGGTTTTGGTTTTGGTCTCTGCTGAGGAAAAATGTTTGCCGCAAGGAAGGAGAAAAAAAAAAAAAGAAGAAAAAGGCATTTTGTAGCTTGTCTTTCCAGTCCTCTCACTAAGCAATTCAGAGCCATTGGCCACAATTGATACTTCATCCTCTGAAGGCTTAAGATGTCCTGTGCTCGTGACTACGACACTCCACTGGACAACTACAAGTACCTTCATGCTCACAGAACTAATTGCAGCACTCACGACATTTTCGTGGCCTTTATTGTCATCCTGACCACAAGTCAGCCGTCCTCAACTGCCTCCTTTAATTTGCCTCGGTGGCCATGAGCAAATTTGGCAACCAAGTTCCACACTATCCAAAAAACCATCCTTGGCCAATACATCCCAGCACTTACCTCTTCAGAAGGAAAAGTGTAGGTGTTTAAGATGCTGAGTTAGTTACTTGGACAACTGAAGGAAGGGGTAAGAAGCCAGAGCTGAAGTAGATTGACGAAGCTTGTGAGGATCGATAAAGCCTGGACCTTTAGTACACACTGCTCTTCTGGAGGGCAGCCATTCATCAGAGCTCTCACCAGGTCTAACGCCCTTCTGCTAGCAGGCAATACCATATGCTGAAACAGAAATATCATAGGGACTCTTCTGTTTCCACCAGAGTTTATCACTCCAGTCTCAGAAATGTGCACAAAGTGTGCCTGCATCCTCCTGGTTTATCCTCATTTGTGGTCCAGGATAGCTGCTTTTCTAGCCCAGAGTTATTTCTGAGTGACGGAAGTCCACTTCTTGAGGTCAAGTGACACCAGTTTATTTTCTCCTATTTAAGGATCATTCCATTTGTGCACTCATGGCTAATAGGCTTCTCACAGGCTGAAATCTCAGCCTTACTGAAAGTAAGCAAGCCTTAAGAAGTGCACAGATCCCAACCAGGATAACAGACCCTCAAGGAGATGACCACAATTTTATAAGATTTTTTTTTTTAATGTCAGCAATACACAATTTTGTAAGATAAAAAAATATAAAAAAAAGAAAAAGGAGCAAGAGAGAGATTCCTCATCCACACACACACTCCACCCCATAATTAGGGCCAACTCATTGCTTTTCTTATTTAAATCAAGTTTTGCACAGAAAAGGGATTCA